CCCCCAAGAGTCAGAGCTTCAAGTGTGTCCATTCCTCAGATGGTATGCATCGCATTCATTATGTATGTATACACCCATCAAAAACCATTCTTAATCATTACAAGTTCTAAATTGTTTAGTGCACAGGATCAAGTTCCCTGATTCAATTTACACCTGAGCTAGATTAGCAAATCAGTCCTGTGGAAATATAGGATCCAAGTAAGAAGCTTGGATTCTGGAGTTGATAAGACTACAATTCAAGCTTTTCTTTTCTTTTCTTTTTTTCTTTTGGAGACAGAGTCTCAATTTTGAACTGTATGACTTTGGGCATGCTACTTAATTAACCTCTCTGAGCTTCAGCGGCTTCTTCTGTAAAATGGAAATAATTAGTACTTAGTTTGAGGTGACAATTTCATGAGATGAAATGATTTATTTAAAGACTTTAGCACAGTGCTTGACAAGTTGGAAGCATTCATTAAATGTAAACTATTACTGTGTTAATGATGATGCCATAGACTAGTCTTTCAACCTCTACTACCATCCCATAATTCATGTCTCTAATCAGAAGGGGTTCAATAAGAAGATGTTTTCCAAATTTGCCAAAATTACCACTTCCACATCAACGATCTAATCTCCTCTGACAACAGTTCTCAAACTTAGCGCAGTACATTAGAATTATCAGAGTAGATTTTTAAATTCCCAATGCCTGGGTCCCTACCCCACCTGGGTATAGCCCAGGCATTGGTGGTTTTCAAAAACTCCTCAGGTGATTACAGTGGACAGCCAACTTCTACTTCTAATAGAAAAGTGGATTATACAAGAAAATTAGATATCATCAGATCCAGGGAAAGAGCAGTGTGGTCTAAAGAGATTGACTGGACAAGGAGTCAGGAGACCTGGATTACAGTTGCTCATCTTCAGTTTCCTCAGGTGCAAAATGAAAGAATTAACAGAGTTCTCAAGAGTTTCTTTTAGCTCTAAGTTATACTGTCTCACCAAACCACCTAAACTTTTCTTATGTTAGCCAACAGGAAGCAGGAAAATTGTTCTAGCTCAAACTTTTACAATTTATGTTCCATAATCTTGTTTTGTCTTCACCTATCTAAGGCAGTATAGTTTCTCAAAATTGAGATTTTTATCAAACTATGTCTTAATATTATATTAATATATGTTCTGCCCAACTAGATATTTACATTTTACACTGATGTCTTCACCCAGAAGGGTGACTAATGGAGATTATGGGGTTGTGTTTTGAGACTGGCGAGGATATGTTGGAGCATGAGTTCTTCGTTGCCCTTCAGATCATGCCCTGTGGACGACTTCATTTAGGATCTATCCTGAGTATTCCTTTATATTTTCTTCTAATCTTTTATACTTCTCTTTTTGCATTATGTTACTCATGAGCATTAGGACTCACACATTGTTTGTATTGGTTGTGTTTACATCATCTTTTTCTTACAAGATTGTACATTTTTCAAGGACAGGATACATTCATGTTGTATCCCCTACATGAGATAGTACAGTATTTTGGCACACAAAAGGAGCTTGATAAATGTTAAATTAAATTAAATTCTTAAAAAATTAAATAATTTTAATGTCATTGCTTTCTCTTTTTTTTCTGTGCTACTTTAGCTTTCATAGTTTCCTTCCAATTTTTGTTTTACACAAAGTCCTATTTCATGAGAGTATAACTACTTTCTGAATACAGCAATGAGCATTTTACTCTCAAAAGTGAAGTAGTAATTAATAAACCAAGGGATATAATCATGATACTAAAATAAGTAAGCTTTTTGTAGTAAATATGTAGAATAACTTTAAATGTTATTTGATGAGGCCATTTAGGTATGCTATTAAGTATTATAAATACATTAAAATGAAACTTTTGAACATGTTAATTATAATTTTCTAAACTTATATTATTCTAAATAACAATGAAATATGTATAACATTTATTAAATATCAGTAATCATTAAAATCCTATGTATGTAACTCAGAGAACTGAGCTATAATAGTACCGAAATATGATAGTGGGAAAATTGAGTATGATCGTTTTTGATGAAATAGAGTAAAATTTCAATTTTAAGTTAGTATAAGAAAAAATCCAACTGTTTAAAATCTGTTTAATAATTAAATAAATATTACTGTTTTGGATCATGATTTTAACAAAATAATTTTAACAATTTATCAAACAATGAGATCTAGTAAATATAAATACGTATTCAGAGAGAATTTTATCTAGCTTAACAGTTAAGTTGGGATTTTGAGTTGTGAGGGTTGGCACTTCAATATAGGTTGAAAATGACCCATCCTCCTTGTCCCCCTTTTGAGTCTACCTTTGTGGGCTCCAAATTTTTCACCTGGGAAATTAATAGATACTTCCTAGATAAGGAATTCTAACTTGTCACTCAGTATACTAGTTGGAGGCAGATTTAAAACACTCAATCTTTAAGTGCATACTTTTTTGAAGAATTTGTCCAGGCTAAAGTATTTACTTGCTTAATGACAGCATTTCTAAACTTCTGTGACTTTTATGTTCATAAACTAAGGTGCACAATACTATTGAGTTTTAAAACACGTGGAGAATATAGTATCTTTCACAAATGTTTATTTTGCTAGCTGTATAAGCAGCCAAAAGCAGCCAAATGTGTTCAAAAGTGGTAGCTCTTGATTTAAGTTGATTTCTTACATTTTCTGCTCTGAAGCACAAATGTACTTAATTTGAAGATATAAAGCTAATCCACATTATTTCTGTAACTATTATCATTTCACAGCATGGGTAACTATAAGAAATAACGTTCTTTGTAGAATGTTCTTCAAACTTACTTTTAGACTCATTCTTACATGTAAATCTGCTAATAAGCAAATGTCAAGGGCAGTAGCAAAAAAGACTAATATTTAGAACAAAGCTAGTTAAAAGAAACAAAACTAGTAAACACTCTGAGTTACTTCTAGCTTCAAAAATTCTTTTGAATTCAAGTCACATGTATTATGTACATTGAAATTGGTTTCCTAAATAAAAATTACTGATACAGAAAAGTTGCTTTAGGGAAAATTTCACTAGTAAATCCATAATCTTTAAAATTCTACTTGAATTAAACATTGATCCTTTGTAAATACAGCGGTGCAAATATTACTTTTTAAAAGTGTATTATTTAGTTTTATCCATGTAGGAGTCCTAGGGGCATGATGACATTTCCTAACATACTTTTTTGGTCTTTTCCTTTGCTATCTAAATCTTTGATTGAATTTCCCTAAGAATTAAAAAGAACTGATGTCAAGAAAGATATTTTCTGTTCAAGATGGATGTTTACACATGTAAAATATTTTTAGAGATATGAATTCTAATTTTGAAGAAGAAAAATACAAAAAAAATTATTTCTTAGTCTTCATTTCTCTTCCCATCTTTAAAATACAAGTTAAATCGTAATTGGAATCGCTTTCCCATCGTGTAGCCAAGCGTTGGTGCCACACATGAAGATGATGGCTTTACTTTGTTAGCCATGTGTTTATGGAAACGCAGCGCTTTCCCTAGATCTTTTGGCTGATAATCTCAAACATGGAGGATGCTTCTGATTCTTCGCGAGGGGTTGCTCCATTAATTAATAATGTAGCTCTCCCAGACTCTCCGCCGTCTCTTCCTGTATCAGTGACAGGCTGTAAAAGTCATCGAGTAGCCAATAAAAAGGTAGAAGCGAGAAGTGAAAAGCTCCTCCCAACAGCTCTTCCTCCTTCAGAGCCGAAAGTAGATCAGAAACTTCCCAGGAGCTCCGAGAGGCGGGGAAGTGGCGGTGGGACGCGATCCCCCGCGCGCAGCCGGGCAGTGGCAGCGGGAGAAGCGGCGGCCGGGGCGCGGCGGGGCGGGCGAGGAGAGACCCCTCGGGAGGAGCGGACCTCCCCTTGCTGTACTTGTAGTTGCGACGGTGGAGAAGTGGCAGTCGGCGTGCTCGCAGGTGAGGGGCTCGGTGCGGTCGCTCGGGAGCCGGCCGGCGCCGGCAGGGAGGTGTAGGCGAGCGGGGGAACAAAGCGGAGCGGCGCCGGGGTCCGCCCGCGGCCAGCGCCCTCGCGGCGTTGGGCCGTCCGACCGGCTGCGCGCCGAGCACGTTGTGAGCCTGGCGGCGGCGGCGGCGGCGGCGGGCGGGGAGCCGGCGCTGGGGGAGGGGGCCTCGGCCGCTCCCGCACTGCCCGCCCGCAGCAGGGCGTCCTGCCCCATTGTGAGCCCGCGGCGGGGCGAGAGGAGGTAGGGCGCGCTCCGAGGGCAGAGGCGGTGCCGGCCCCGCTCGCCCGACACCCCGGCAGCTGCAGGAGCGAATTCGGTAGCAGCCGCGGCGCGTCACTCACACAAAAGGCAGTCGAGCTTCCCCCAGCGCGCGGACCGGCCCACGCTGCCGCCGAGCGCTCCCCACCTTACCGGCTTTCCTTTCCCTCCAATTTTGATAGGGAAGCGGGGCCGACGCGGGCGGCCGAGGGTCCGGGCGAGCCCGCGGGCATACGGGAGATGCCGCTGCTACACCGAAAACCGTTTGTGAGACAGAAGCCGCCCGCGGACCTGCGGCCCGACGAGGAAGTTTTCTACTGTAAAGTCACCAACGAGATCTTCCGCCACTACGAGTAAGGGTCGGGCCAGGCGCGAGGGGTACGAAGGGGTGTGGGGGCTCCCTCCCAGCGCCCTTTTGTCTCTCCTTTTCCTCGCCCTGGGCTTCTGGCGGGGCGACTTGAAAGTGACCGGTGGCCACGGTCCCGCATTTCTCTGGTCTCCCCTCCCCCAAGCCCGACCCGGAGACTGCGCGGGGCCACTGGCCGCGGCGCGCGTGGGGAACGCGTGTCGGGGCGGAGGCAGCTGGTGTCCCCGCCAGCCTCGGGGACCGCTCCTAGCCGCTGCTGTCGCTCGCCCGCCTGGCCGCCTGGCCGCGGGGCGGCGGAAACTCCCCGTTTCGCCCCTCCCCGCCGCGACCACACGCGCACTCATGGGCCAGTTCCGGGATCCCCTCCTGGCGGCCGAGGGGATCCCCGCTCGGGTCAGCAGTGTGGGGCCGCAGTTCCCGGCCTGGGGAGGGAATCCCTGCCCCCGTGGGCAGGAAACGGCCGTGCTGGGCTTCGTTTCCTCGGTCGGGAGTGGGGTCTGACGTTGGAGCTGCCTCGCGTAGGGGCGGGCAGGAGCGGAGTTGAGAGTCCCCCCGGCGGGGAGGAGGGGGCTTTCCAGCGGGCCCGGGCGGTGGGGCCCGGGACGCGAGAGCCTCTGCGGGCGGCCTACCGTCCGCGCTGCTAGGCCTCGGAGTGTGCGACGCGAGCCGTGCGCTCTGTCACCGCCTCTTCTTGGTGACTAACTCCCGTCCCCGGGGAACTCAGCGTCTCCGCCCCCGGGAGACCGGTGAGGAAGAAGTCGGGGCTGGGCGAGGGGAAGAGGAAGGGGGAAGAGAGCAGGGCCTTGGGCTCCCCTCGTTTTCACTTTCGCGTAGCCCAGAGCTCGGCGCTGGAGTTGGGGGGAGGGGGTAAAGACAAGTTCAACTCCAGCCTCAGCCAGTCGCCTCTTTATCCCCCTGTGCATGTGGGCTGGCTGACATGTGCCACTCGCTATTGTTTTGATAAGAACCCGGGGCTGCTGCTAGTGTCGTTTCAGCCTCTAAATTTTCAGTCCTTCGCTTGATTTATCCCAAAAGATCTCCTTGTCCTGTGACATGAAGCAGTAGGATATGTTTTAGCGATCTATGTTTAAACAGGATCTCCAAGTGAGAACCTGAGTTGATCAAACACTGGAACAGCCTGATCCTCCTCTTTTCTAATGCTTTATCCTCTCCACTCAGAAGGAATCCCTTTGTGGCTTAGAAACGAAGTGTTATAGCAACCAAATACATTGCGTGTAGGAGGCACTTTTTCTGAGTAGGGGCTTGATCGAAGGAGCGCCTTAGGCAAACTCTGCACCTGTCTGAGAAATGAGTAGTGAGGTCAGAAAAGTTCCTTGGAGCGTTTATTTTAAGTAAGCCCTCTTTTTTTTCAGCTCCACAGAAAGAGGTTACACATTAAACATGTTATATCCAGAGAAGTACATAGTACTTTTCTTCAGACTGTACTTTTAAGTAGGAGTGCACATCTCACTGTACTCTTGTATAGACTTGTTTTGTTACTAAAATAGAATTCACTCTTTAACTACTTAAGTGAATTTGGATTAGGTAACTGGACAAGGACGATGTCTTTTTTTTAAGGGTGTAAGCTAAAGTCCTTGCTAACAATTCTGAATTTAAATAAAAATTGTATTTAAGATTGCCAGCAAAATAGTAAACAGGCCTAAATTTCGAACTGTAAGCTATTTTTTCAGAGATTCTCCTCACTTTAGAGGGTAGGGTGAATATTGGCTATTATCCTTTGTGAATCAAACACTGTTCATGTACTTTGGTTCTTGAGAGGAATTACTCCAACCATGGAGAAATCTGAAATGCTAAAATAAAAGAGATTTTTGGCATTCTAAACCTGTCTATCTTCGATTAATATTAAGGAACTGTATCCTTTGTAGTCTCATGACATTTAAACATTTTTAAATAACTAGGTTTTTAAATTTTTGTTTTTTCCCCTGTGATGAAATGTTTGTTTTTGGAAATTACAGGCAGCCGAAGAGAGATGATTGGTTTGGGAGCAAAGATACTTGATCATTTACCCAGAGCAAAAGCAGTATTACTGGTATTCTTAGGTATTAATCTTCATGACTTTGAACAAAACCAATTTTGGCAAAATTTGAAGAAGAATGCCATTTAATCATGTTAAATTTTGAATTACTTTCTCTTTCTTTTAAATAATCACAAAGAGATCTTTCCAAAAATGTATTCATGGTGGTCTGCAATATTATGGCAATCTGACCCATGGCACAAGTCTGGAGAAACTATGAAGGGAAACCTCTCTTTTCACTCATTCATTAAATCAACTGCTTGATTTATGTGAACTTATTTGAAGATTAGCCTTTCAGTGCATTGTTTTGAATATTTTTCTTTTGTATTTGTCTTTTTTTTTTTGAGACAGTCTCTGTTGCCTGGGCTAGAGTGCCAGCCTAGCTCACAGAAACCTCAAACTCCTGGGCTCAAGCAATCTTCTGCTTCAGTCTCCTAAGTAGCTGGGACTACAGGCGTGCGGCACCATGCCCCACTAATTTTTTATATATATATTTTTTAGTTGTCCAGCTAATTTCTTTCTATTTTTTAGTAGTGATGGAGTCTCACTGTTGCTGATGCTGGTCTCAAACTCCTGAGCTTGAGCGATCCTCCCACCTGGGCCTCCTAGAGTGCTAGGATTACAGGCATGAGCCACTGCGCTGGCCTTGTATTTGTGTGAAGACCACTGTGCTCACCTGTTTGCTTGGGTTTTTTTATTTCTTCAATATAAATTTCTTTGCTTTAATCAGTCTCAAAGAGGTTTTCTACACCTCCCAGTCTTATTTGCTTCCAACACAATACAGAGTATAACTTTAGCGTCTAACTAAAGGGAAGTAGAGGATGCCGGTGACCTTTTTTTTTGGTCATCCTTCCTAGTTTGTCCTAAGCCAGTGACCTTTTAATTGCTAAATAGTTTTCTGTCTCTATCTTACATGATATTATAGCCTACTTCCTCTTTGTCCTAAGCAGCAATAATCACCCCCTCCATCTTTTCTGGTGTAAAGTCATATTATTGCCTTGTAATGCAGTGTATTTGTTGCCTCGTATTTTGTCTTCTTAAAGACTCTGAATTCTTTGAAATAGGGACTATGACCAGGATGCATGCTCAGTGATTACACAGCACAAACTCTTTTATTTTGTTTGTTTGAACTACATTCTCCTTAACTAATTGCTAACTCTTATTTGACCTGCTTTCGTAAGTAAAGAAGACTTATTAAAAATAGCACATTAACTATAGGCAGCAAATGCATATGATAAAGTGCATAATTTAGTTTCTTAAATAGGAGAAAGATTTATTCTGTAATTTTGGTTAGGTTACAACAATTTTGATTTTTATTTTTGCCAGCGGTTGCTCAAAAATGGAACTATCAGGTTTGAATGTCAAATTCTAGATTCAGACTATACTTGTAAGTGGGAGTTACACATCTTACTCTGCTCCTGTATATTGTTGTATTACCCAGTGACTCAATCTCCTAAATAAAATAACTTTTTTTGTTTAGCCATTTGGACACTTGGAATTGGAATATACTTTCCATCTTTTTCTGAGTCCCACCTTCTATACAGAATGTAGGAATCTCATCCACAACATCACTAACATTCCAGTTTATATTCCATCCTGGCTTTCCAGTGGAAGAGGTTTGAGTAGCTTATAAGGCTTCTTATTTTCATTGTTCATCATCTCTCACTTGTTAATTCAGTCTTTTCAACAGCTCCCTTTTACAGATGAGGAAACTGAGGTTGGGATGGGGGGGATGTAAGTCCATAATCATAGTATCCAAAATTACATATCTAGCAATTAATGAAACTAGAATTTTAACTCATTTCACTGGGATGCTAGAGTTAATGCTCTTCTTACTATTTACTTCTTACTGTTTACTATCACATTGTGCTTATTATGGAAAACTCTTCCCAGTATCTGTTGAAATTTATAGAAGTAGCATCAAGAAAATAGGGACATTGCATGGAATGTAGGCTGGCTGCCTAGGTCTTTGTGTATGTACCACTGTCTTCTGTCTGTTCAGACATTTGCCTTCTTTACTACACCCCCAAATGATTAAGCTCTAGGTATTAAATGGACACCTCAGAATGCCATCAATTTATAGTAGGGAGAAATGCCTTTCACACTGACCAGTTGCCATACTGATGATTAGTTATGTGAGAAATTTAGTTATAATTAAAGGATATTTGATGAATATAGGGTTTTCAAAGGAAATTGGGTAATCTTCATAGCTAATGTTTCAAATTAGGTGTTAAGTTCTTCTTTAGGAATAAGTCTGCCACAAGGTCCTAATACTTGTGTTGATGAGTTCTTGTATGATATAGCAGAGATTCCTAGATGCTTTTATTTTTTAGTTTTATCTGCTTAGCAGGCTACTATGTATTGTATTAATGCATCCTTCAGACCAAATCAGTTATTGTAGTGCAACAAGCTAGCCCATAACTTAGCTACTCAAAATAACAACCCATTTTATTTGCTCACTATTTTATGGATGGTCAGTTTTGTTTTCTGCTGGTCTCCTCTGTGCTCACTTACTCAGCTGCAGTCAGGCTAGGCTGAGGCTGGTTGGAGTAAAAGTCTTAGTCACAGGTCTGGGACCTCAGCTGGCATGGTTTTTCTCACCATGTGGTCTTTTATTCTCAGTAAGGTACCCTGCCTGTTTCTCGTGGTGGTCTCAGGGTTTCAAGAGGTGAGAGTGGAAGTCACTCAGCGTCACTTCAAGATTATGTTGGTCAAAACAGATCACAAGGCCAACTCAGATTCAAAGCATGGTGAAATAGACTCCACCTCTTGATAAGAAGAGCATCAATGTCGTATTTCAAAGGTGCCTGCACACCTCGAGCCCTCTTTGTAGTCTATCATAAATGTTCAATACAATTTTATACCTGGGTTATCCTGATTGGATTTGGGGTGTTCACTGATAACCTAACTGATTTTATCCATCAAAACAATGAAAACTATCCTAAGATCTTGTGGATATTCCTTATTGCTTGCCCCTATATTATCTATAATAATAATGTAAACTCTTTCCTCTTAGAATTTCTATTGTCCTATGCATGTCCTCAGGAGCTGCCAAGAAGAAATATCTTTAGATATCTAAGATGGCTAATTCTGCCTCTTCCCAATTTTCTGTTCTTTTTTTTTGAGACAGAGTCTCACTTTGTTGCCCAAGCTAGAGTGAGTGCAGTGGGGTCAGGCTAGCTCACAGCAACCTCAAACTCCTGGGCTCAAGCAATCCTGCTGCCTCAGCCTCCCGAGTAGCTGGGACTATAGGCATGCACCACCATGCCCAGCTAATTCTTTCTATATATTTTTAGTTGGCCAATTAATTTCTTTCTATTTTTAGTAGAGACAGGGTTTCGCTCTTGCTCAGGTTGGTTTTGAACTCCTAACCTTGAGCGATCTGCCCGTCTTGGTCTCCCAGAGTGCTAGGATTACAGGCGTGAGCCACCTCGCCGGCTGATGACTGTTTTTTGAGTGCACATATATTATGGGGGTATTCACTTATAATTAACTGACTTGATTTTCTCATTAACAGTTCATGGAAGATACTATCCCATTTACAGAAAGGGAACCAAGTTCAGAGAGGTTATATAACTTATCCAAAGTTGCATTCTAAAAGTGGTAAAGCTGGGATTCAGACATTTTCCTCTCTCCTTCCTCTCTGGAATGCCCGTTGAGGGTAGACTGCCCTTTAAACATTTGTTTATTCTTGTCACTATACTTTGGGCAGTCTTTGGAGATGCTGAGATAATTTGTCCCTCTAGTGAGTAATGAATGACCACAACACAGTGGCATAAGTCACATATGTGTTGTGGAGCCAATAACTGTTTGTTGGGGAGTTTGGGAATCCCTAAAATAGGAGATAATATCTGAGTTGGGTCCTGAAGGATGGAGCTCACAAGACACAGAATAGGAAAGAGAGTCTTGGCACAAGGGGTACTATAAAAAATCCTTTTTAGGTAAGGAAAACTATATAAGAAGGCATAGAAGTGTGACTTTGTAGGTGTTTTTCTACCATACTGATTATTCTACTAGCTGCAGATGTGGCCTGATCAATAAGAATTGATACTATTTATTGAATGCAGGTATATTATTATTTTCATAGCCATTACTGTTAAGCTAGGACTTTTACATCCAGTGCTAGTATCATGTTTTACCTTTGTTGATGTCCATTTAGGTTTTAGTTTCTAGTTTTTAGTGTCTGACTCTAAGGCAACACTAAATAAAATGGAAAGTAAAATTTCATTAATGTGTTTTCTTAATTAAATTTTGTTTTTTATTAATCAAAAGTTTTCCCTGATCATCTGTCAATAAATGTAAAAAATATAATTTTCATCTAGCTGGCATTTCTCTATTTAATATAAGGCATTTTAAGCCTGCCAGGCCCATGATCTCCTAAGCAACCTTGTCACTGAAGGAAATTATTAGAACAACCCATGCTGTCTTCTAGCAACAATTACTTTTTAAAGTTTGTAACTATACTTTCTATCTCTTGCATATAATATGCTGTGTAAGTCCGGAATTATATTAGTTTTTGACCCATGGCTGTATTTCTCAGTTACGCTAATTATTTTTGTGTACCTGAGTGTCTGCCATGTCCCTTAGTAGATCTTTTCAGCTGAATTGTGCTGGCTCTTTCTTATGTCATATCTGGTTAATAATAGTATTGGTCCTGAAGTAGAGTACACTTTGTGCTTTATCTGAATTGTATTTGACTTCTGATTTATATATGTCACTTAATTCTCAATCTTCTACTAGATTTTTAGTTTTCCCAATACCCAGCAAATTAACAGTATGTTGCCCTTTGTTCATCTCTTAGTTCACCAGAGAGTTGGCTGACTTCATATTATAGGTGTGTTCTTAGAAATGTACTCTACCTTGCAACTCAGAAGCAATTTTTCCTTATGAGATAATGGTAAAGAGGAAGAAGTCATCAGGATTTTTCTATAAAGGACAAGATAATCAGTATTTTAGGTTTTGTGGGCCATAGCATCTCTTGGACCTATCCAACTCTGTAAACATAGTGAGAAAGCAGTTATTATAGATAATAACTAACTGTGGGTGTGGCTGTGTTCCACTAAAACTAGAAAAGCAGATGGAGGGCTAGATTTGGTTTCCAGGCCAATATTATGCCCATAATCCTTTCATTAATATTATGCCAATAATCCTTTAGTAGAGAGGATTATTGAAGGAATGCGGTTATAAATTAGATATAATTTATATTAGCCTAAATTTATACTCATATAAAATACCTTGTATTTTATAATTTGTTTTGCTCATAATAATAAAACATGCTTCTTATAAAAGTTTCATTATTTATATTCTTATAATGTAGAAATTGAAGAGGTACCATAACCAATCCCCTAGACAGATCAGTGTTATTAACAAATTCTACACATTTAAAAAACTCTATGTATACTATACATGTATATGATGAATGGGTGAAGTATGAGCAGAATTACAGAAGTGGGAGAAAGTGAAGGTGTATAATGTTAGAGATGGTGCTGTGCTGTTTGGGGGTGATGAATAGGGGAGAGAGAGCTCTTGGACTTTTTCAAAACCCTTGCATTAAAATGGCCAGAATATGCCCTGGTTCCTGATTTCTGAGGGTAGATCTTTGTGTACAGCAAGGCCATAATGTAACAATAACTTTGTGGAGTAGATAGACACAAAGGAAACAAACAGCACAAACATTTTACATGAGATAATAGAAACCTTATGGTTTTGAAGGCTAGCTATATATCTCTGGTTATTAACTATCCTGTTTTTCTGCCTGGTAATACCTTTAATGGAGACTTATGACACTTATGCCTTTTGCTTTTTGCGGTATTTTTAGACAATGGTAGCCATCCCCCTGCCATGGCATTAAATACCCCAGGCACCTAGCTGTCATGGCTAGAGCTATTCTTTTCAATACAGGAGCCATTACTTGGCCATGTGGGTTATTAAGCACTTGGAATGTGACTAGTCTGAATTAAGATGGGCAATAAATGTAAGATACACATTGGATTTTGAAGATTTAGTACAAAAAAAAAAATTCAATGTTTTTCTATTGATTACATGAAATTATTTTGAATATAGGAGGTTAAAAATATATACAAATTAATTTCATTAGTATTTCTTTTTAAATTTTTAAATGTGACCATAGAAAATTTAAAATTATCCATGTGGCTAGCATTCTATTTCTATTAGCACTGATTTACAGACTAATATATAAGATATCTAGTTTGTTGTTTTTTTTTTTTTTTTGTTTTTTTTGTTTGAGACAGAGTCTCACTTTCTTGTCCAGGCTAGAGTGAGTGCCATGGTGTCAGCCTAGCTCACAGCAACCTCAAACTCCTGGGCTCAAGCAATCCTGCTGCCTCAGGCTCCCAAGTAGCTGGGACAACAGACAGGTGCCACCATGCCCGGCTAATTTTTTTCTATATATATTAGTTGGTCAATTAATTTATTTCTATTTATAGTAGAGGCGGGGTCTCATTCTTGCTCAGGCTGGTTCCGAACTCCTGAGCTCAAACGATCCGCCCACCTTGGCCTCCCAGAGACCTAGGATTACAGGCGTGAGCCACTGCGCCCAGCCCGATATCTAGATTTGAAGTATAATTTTCTTAAATAGTACTAGCTGTAGTTTAAATTATTAGAAGCATACCTCACGTAATAGATATCTCAATTATCCTGATTTGATCATTATACATTATGTATCTGTATCAAAATATCACATGTACCCCCAAAATATGTACAACTATTATATATCAGTTATAAAAAGAAAAAAGTGTACTTCATGTACATTGTGAGGTAACTAACTGTATTGGCTTGGGAAGTTAAATCATACAGATATGTTTGTTTCCATAGGAAAAAGTTTAGAACTTTTATTTTTGAGACAGGGTCTCAAGTTTAGAACTTTTAAAAAGATTTCTAAGTGGTACTACAATTTTAGGCAGTAAAACTAAATAAGACCTTTAAAATTCATTCATGCATTCATTCATTCATTTTATCCTGTACCCATTGATAACTACCTAATGGGTATGTCTGTTGCCTCTCTCTCTTCAGCTAATAAATTATTTATTCTGACATAGATGTCTTGATTATAAGCATCAGATTGTGTTCTCTTTTTCTTTTTGGCATTCCTTTCTTCAACTCTTACTTTTCCTTTAAGACCTAACTCTTAACACTACTTCTCAAAAAAAGTTCTAGTTTTGTTTTTTTTTTTTTGAGACAGAGTCTCACTGTGTTGTCTAAGCTAGAGTGCCATGGCATCAGCCTGGCTCACAGCAACCTCAAACTCCTGGGCTCAAGGGGTCCTGCTCCCTCAGCCTCCCAAGTAGTTGGGACTACAGGCATGGGCCACCATCCCTGGCTACTTTTATATATATATTTTTTTAGTTGTCCAGCTAATTTGTTTCTATTTTGTTAGTAGGGAGGGGTGCTCCTCAGGCTGGTCTCGAACTCTTAAGCCAGGCCTAGTATTTCTTTTTTAACCTCTTCTTTGCCTTTCCTCCCTCTAAATTTTTAGGATATCTCCTCTGTCTTATAAAGATAACCACTTTTACTTTTTATTTTTAATGATATACATCCATCATTTCCCATACTAAAACATGCTTCAAAAGAATCTTTGTACCAAATTAGAGTCATATAACTTGGCATATGCATGTTATTTCTTTAGAGCTCATTTATGTTTAAGGTATAATTAGCTTCTCTTTATTTTCACAGAGAATCTTTTTTATTATTGTTCTATAGACGTACAGCAATGAAACTATCCAAATGGAATTGCCCTAAATTTTTTTTGGAGATCACACTACTTACTATAGGGATAACCTACAGATACACTAACCAGGAAATAAATACGTAGCAATTTAAGTACTTCTAGAATGGTGGGAGAAGGTAAGAGGGGAATTACAGAAAGGAGAAAAAGTTGAAGAACAATGACAATTATATTTATTATATATAATTATTGGAAAGTAGACCAAATTATAGAGGAGGGAAATAATTTAACTATCTTACTACCTAGAGGCAACCATTGTTAACCTTTTTGCACATGTCTAACCTTTTATATTTAAAAAATATTTTATTGCAAAACGATACATGAGTGATGCTTATTACAAAAATTCAAACAATATAGAAATATTTGGAGTCTCAAAGTTTTTCTTTTCCTTCC